GCCATTGAGTATCCCTGTCCTAGATGATGTCCATAAAGATGGCTCCTGCCCCAAGGAGCTTACAATTTTAATAGTCTCATCCATACACATAAGCATATTCATTAGAGAAATGTCTATGCAGGTTGATGAACAGAACTAGAGAGAGAAGGGGTCAGATTTCAGGAAGGATCTAGCTTGGTGTGACCAAGAACTCGGGAATTTGACTGCTAATTAACAACCACTAAAGCTTTAACATTGGCCTCTCGCCATGTACTATAAAGGTCTCTTTCCTACAACGCCATGTGCTTCCCACATAATTTGCTGTTCATGACAAAGGCTGTCCCATGATTACTCAGATTCCTAGGACTTTATTACTAGCCCTATGCAAGGCAGGAACAGTAGCAGCTTCGAAGTATTAACAAACATTTGTGGTTTTGCAGAGCTGTCACAAAATGGAAGCCGGATGCATCTGACTCTAAATGGGTTCCATTGTTACTAAACTGTCAAGCCTGTAGGAGGATGAGTTAGGGTAACATATTTACAAACGGTGAGTGAAATTCACCCAATATAGGTCTTTTCATGCTTTTGAGAAGAAGAATAGCCCAGTGGTTAAGGTATTAGCTTAGCGCACAAATGACATTGAGTCAGTCCCCTATTCTGCAACATACTACCTCTGTGATCCTGGTCATGTCACTTAGGCTCTGTCTATACATGGGAAATAAATAAGATGGTAGCACTTCCTTACCTTGCAAGGCAGTATGAGAAGCAATAAATTAAAGATTGTGAAGCACTTCTGTCCGGCAGCCCGTAAGGATGCAAATAAGCATACAATGGGATTTTCAAAAGCAGGGGGTTCCAATGAGAGACTTGCATGCTTTGGAAAATTCCACTAGATGCCTACCACTAGACATCTAAATACCTTAGGGTTACTATGGCAACAGGGGCCATATAACTAGCTACTCATGCCTATACTCGCCTACTTAAGCAGTGTATAGGTATTGTGTTGGCCCTCTGCACAGGGGCAAATTTCACTTGAAAAGAGTGTTTCTATATCGTTTGCAATGTTGTAGTAGCTGTTACCTTGAAAGTTGGCTCTTTCGCCAACACAAGTTGGTCGAATGAAAAGTATTATCTCATCCAGCTTGAGACTCAGATATATTTTATAGCAGCTCAGAAAAGAAGGGAATAGGAAATATGAAAGCCAACTTGTGTGTTCATATATAATGATCTTATTCTTTTCTGGCTTAGATATTTAGTTCAGCACTCTCTGAAGGAGTCCTCCATATGTAAACCAATTAAGAGGCTTTAAAATATGGAAGAGGCACAACCCTTGTAGTGAGGAATAAACAATGTCAGAACATGCTCTTGTAGAACTCTGCTAGAATAGCATTTTTAATAAGAGACACAAATTGAACAATAGTGTCTAAATGTGATTAATGCAAAAAAGAAAAAGGAATCTAATTAGTTGATTTTTACCACACATTTGGGAGTGTTCGTTTAAGCAGTGTTATTAATAGTTGGGTTTTTTCCATGGTTTTTATTTTTGTAAATTCTTCGTGGTGCTGTGTTTCTTAGATGTTTAACTGGGTTTTGTCAGGATCAGTGCTTTTATGGGAGACCATTCAGCAAATCCAAGTTGCAGCAAGAGTGCGGTGTCTAAATTTCCTTGGTAACACTGTTTC